TAAATAAGTATATATTCCGATAATTCCGATAGATTTCGACAATATCCGTAAATTCCGAACAGTTCGCCCTGAATTGGTGCGGTTAATATATCATTTGTAATCCGCCTTCCGTACCGTTCCGAATGCCAAAAAAAGGGAATATTCCGCCGGATATTTGCGGAATTTTGCGATATTTTCAACTATGATTAAAACACACAACGGAATATGCAATAAAGTTAATAAGAGTGTTTTCGACATTAGCAGACCTCGATATGTGTGTGATGTGATTAATGAACTTGCATCTTGTTGCATCGTGACCTGAGTTTGGACATCCTATGGTTCAAACACTCATTGGTCACTCCAATCACAAGTTTGACCAACAGTACCAATTGGTCATAAAGAAATCACATCTTTTTTAAAAGTGAAACTAAAGACCATCCTACACCAAGATCAAAGTTAAACATAGGAAAAAAAAAGTGTAGGAGTTTTGTGCGTGGATTCATATTTTTAATCATTGGACCTTTTATGTTTAGTCGTTGGTACACACGGAAAGTGGATTAACATAAGCAGGCCCATAACAACATAAAAGTAAATTAGTATTATATATAGGACATAAGATAGCTTAAGTCACTTGAACAGTTGCTTTTGTTTCTAATCACATGACGGAAACACAGCACAAAACAGTGATGACACCAGACTTGAAGGTATGGCATACCTGGATATAGTCCATCCACCTTAGCACATTTGGATATTTCTTCTTATCTGTAGCTGAAAGACCACTCTGGAAATTAAGTAGTCATCAGATCTGTTATGGACACTAAGTAATAAAACAATTATTGTTTGATGAACATCACATACCACAGAAGAGTGCAAGGAAGAAAACACAACGATATCAGCTACTGAAGGTTTAAACCCATCACCCAATAGAACAGACTTCAGGGTCAAGTCCTCATTTAATCTTGTTAGGAATTCGTTGCAACCATCAGAATTGAGAGGAAAACTATCTGCAAATGCAACCCAGTTCAGCACCTACATAAAAAATTCAAAAGTAAGGATGTTGAGGTTAATGCCATTTGTATTCCCATTTAATACAAGCAGCCCTGACTGACAATCCCATGTAATATTTAACCAAAGTTTTGTATGAGCTGGTAACAAGAATATATCATAGCAATTTCTATAAAACACCTTACTCTTTGTATTTTGAACAATAAGTCAATCCATAAGAGACACTGAACATTAGAAGTCTAGCTGAAAATTTTCTTAACGACCAAATTGACATGAACTTACCTCATTGCTTTCAAGAGCTGTTTCCTCCCCAGATGCTTTCAAAATGGTAGAGACTAAACCCTTAACGTCATTTGCCTCAATACTTTCCCCAGAAATTTTTTGCTGCATAGATAAATACAATTTCAACATAGGTCTAACATATGAGCAATGTAAAGCTATCTCTTCTAACAAAATCAATAAGAATATTTGAGATCAAAGTATCAAACTATGTAATTTATTTGATTCCCACCACCAAATTTCTATTGAAACTAATAAATCCCAGTGAATCATCTATTGAAACTATTTATCAAATTGCAGAGAATATAAAGATTGAAATTACCACAACTAAGACAAACCCATTATGGATAATCAAAAACATTGATAACCCATTTACATAATATTTTAAATCATGATAATGAAACCTATGGAAAGTAACTTTAATTG